CTAAATTTCAGGTACAGTCCAATTTTACCACACAGGCCTATGTATTAACACTCGTTGAACATAAAATTATAATATAATTACGTTTACGAAGCCACCGTCCCACACTCTGGGTGAAGAAAACAGGTAAACCAAAACAAAATGCTGGAAAGGCATTCAATCTTCTGGGATACAAAGGCGTGTAGTCCGATGAAGTCAACCGACGTTTCGGAGGAACTTATCGCGATATTCAGGGTCAAAGGGTAAGCGTAGTTCACGCTAGTTTCTTCCTTAGCTTACTCCTCGACCATTTAGATGGAGACATGTTACTCCGAAACGTCGATTGATTTTTATCGCACTACATGGCGTTATAACCCAGAAGATGTAACTCTTCATATTCACCGCCGTGAGAACCTCAGATCAAAGAAACAGTTCAAAATAAATAAACAAGATAATAGAGATAATTACAAAATATAGCGATTCTTGGTTTATAATCACGTGTCAAAATCGTTAAAATAAATATGACGATAAGTTGGCTCGTGTAGCTTTGGATGTGTATGAAGGCGTGGAGGTAAACATCCACATTTTCTTAGACATCGAGAGTACATGGAAGAGGGTACGAACCCCACGGTACGTACTTGGTCTCCCAGGATCCCGCATGGACGTTGATGGGAACAGAAAATGCCTCCTACGGGGTCGCCCTTAATTGAAACCAACCATCGACACAGCTGACACAGGCGCCTGGCTTATCAGACTTAATATTAATCAGATTAATGTAAACTGAGGGATGGACAGATTATTCAATATGCATGAGAGAGGATACGATATGTAGGAAGTTGTGTTTGAAACACCTGATGGAAAAATAGCAATGGGTGACTCAGAGGATAATATTAAAATGGATAAGTTAAATTTAATTGATTCTGTGAATTCTTAATAAATCACAAAGGGGCAGCTAAAATATTATTCTAGAGACTGGCATATATGCACAACGTAGTTGTTTCGTGCAGCTTCGAAACGTGACTTCTACACCCAGGGAGGAAAATTAATCTTCAAATGAGTGAAAATTAAATGTTCAGTAAAATATTAAAATAAAGGATACTGGGTGTCGCCAAGCACTGTTAAGAGTATTCAACTAGAAGTTAGGATGGGGTGGGTATGTAGCCAAGATAGAAGAAACAAGAATTTTTACGGAAAGTGGCTTGTTGCGAAACATATTCTCGCGAATATGCCATTCACAACAGATCATATTTCCATTCGATAATATACGAATAACAAACCAGGAAGAAGACAGGGCGTTATAAAGTAATGAAATACACAAACATATATTTCACTGCACGTAAAGCTACCGGAGTCTGAAGCTAACTACCCCACATTAACGATTGTATCCCGATCTAGAATGAGTATTCTGCCTACGCGCCCCCTATACGCCGCCGTGATCTGATGCTTAAGCACAGCAATGCGCAAGGATATACTGACAATAAATCAGTTTTGTGGTTTTATAGCCTTATAACAGGCGAGTCTTTTTGTAATTATTAGCGGCATATTTTTTGGAGGGAAGCTGTCGAGGGAGGGGCTACAAACAACCGCCAATGTAACAGGTGACGTCATAGATCGAAAGATGCAAGACAAATGCACGACGATGCAGGCACGTGTACGCGACAACCCCCAACCCCCGCCTATACTTCAAGGTTAGTATAAGGTCGTAAATATCCAATATGTCTCAATCTTAACCTTAAAAAAATAATGGCGGAAATCATAACCTAAAATTAAATTTATATGAATGTATGCATATTTGTAAATTCTAGGCCATAAATAGTCTTGAGTTACATAATGTCACTTGTAAAAAGCTGTAGATGCACTGAAAATCATCGAAATGGCCTGCTTTCGAATCTGATGTATTCCAGGCGTTAAAATGTTTTCACTTGAATAAAATAATATTTTCTCTCCAAATGCACTAAACTTTACATAAACGCCTTCATACTTTACATTATGGTCCTTGGTTCAACTCCAGGGCGTTCTGAATACGAATGCTCAACGAATAATTTTCTTGAAGGTGGGAAGTAAGTCGGAAAGCATATGCATATTTGCTTATAACTTCTGCAGTTTTCATGCAACAGTTTTAAAATTTTGCAGGTTCATTTTACATGCATTATTGTGTTCTGTGATTATTTTATCCGAATTTAATAGAGAAAATTCTTTTAATAATTAATAAAACATCAACTGGTACACTTATGTACTATTTTTGCTTTCTTCTACAGAAATTGTATATTTAAAAAGAAATATATCATTGTACACATGATTTAATATAGGCCTATACACGCCAATTTCATATTCCAGCAAAATATTTATTAATTATATGGTATTATTAAATGCTACAAAATAAATGAACATAGTTTCATTGCTTTATATTCAGTAGTTTTTTAGAAACCTTTGATGTGTGTGAAAAAATCTAAACTTCAGAAGGCTGGACTTAAAAGTAAAAGAAGAATCTTTATCAAGCAAAAATAGCTTCAGTATTTAATTCACGGGCATTTATGCTCAGAATTCATCAAGTATACCTTCTAGTAACATTAATCGAGTACACTATGACGCCAAGAACGTGCATAGAGGTTATGTAATGATGTTAGAACTATCCCAGAGGGGTGGAACTTCAGAATCAGGTCTACGTAGACATATAGGTTGATACAGCGCTCATGTCAGGTGAGTACCAGTGTCTTTAATTGAGTATTCTAATTAACTGCAATGAACAGGATCATCTAGAGCTGTTGATATATATTCCGTCAAAGTTTTCATGAAAAGAAGGTTCATCATGAAGTTCACACTCAGTAGCTTGTCTACTGTGACAAATGGAACCCTTTTCAGCACCTCATAATCTCTTTTCATCTTACACAGACTGAATTGGTAATTTTATTGTGTTAGAAAGTGAGACATTTTTTAATTTTTTTTTTTCATTACTGACAGAAGGCATGGACTACCTGAATAGAAAGATGCACACATGGATATGCCAAAACCACTATTTTCAAAAAGCTTCTCATCATAATCATAATTCACACATTAAATAAAATAAGTGACTTTCCAGTGTAAATTTCAGTGCTTTAGTTAGGGCAACGCACTGTTGGTGTCCATGCTAGATGGCCCTTAAGCCCTGGCATACTAGAATGCTTTATTTCTGCCTGAACCTTAGCTCCACACAGTGAAGAGACCCTGGGTATTGTGGGTTGTGAATCGCTATTCTTCATGAAACACAGAACACATATAAATACTGTGGACAAAATGCAGTTCTTTTAATGCTAAAGCATATGGTACATAAGTTGCCACTGCACTGTAGAGGAGTTATTACCACCAAACTGAAATATTTTGTGAGCCTTGCATGTTATAAATTTCTTTTTGCCTAAAAAAGATAATGCAATAAAATTATTTATATTTAAAAAATGTTTTACAACATATGAAATAAGAAACTTACCTTTGGCAGTGATGGCGATGTGTGTACTTCACAAAGTTATGATGACAACATACTGGTACCACTGTTAACACTGTTAAACTGTACCGGGACGAGGGAGATCTATGGTGCCATGTTGTGGATGCATGCCAACAGCGTTGTTTTGAAAAAAGGCAGTTTCTTTATAAATCCAAATTACATTCAAAGTAAATTACAAAATTTTTACATTTTATTCCTAACATCCTTGTGATAAACATGAGTCGCAATACATGTGGGGATTTTGCGCTTAAAAATTGCTGTGTATGTTGAAAATGAATAAAATATAGGACTAACTGAACAAAGGAGCAAGATGGAGAAGGAGTAGGAAGCAACGTAACACAGTCAAAATGGTTAGGATGAGTCGAGGAAACTGTGCATGCAGCTCAGTGGGCATGTGTGGCAGCTTCTGCTGTGTCCATGGAAACAGAACACTGCTCTTCATAACAGTTAAATAAAATGGCACATGTGAAAATGTGGATAGCAGAATTACACATAACAAGAGTCAACTGTGTGAACATCATCCATGCTGAAAGTCGTGGGTATTGAAGAAGGCCAAAATAGTAATAACCTTGGACAGCAGAGCAATGAGAATTGTTTTTGGGCTGCTGAGGACTGCTGTTTGGTTGATTCCCTGTGCAAAGTGGAAACCATCCATACAGATCTCTATGGTACAACATTCAAGAAGCTGCAATAAACATTTCATGAGAAGCAATTATTTTTCAAGATGAGAGTGCATGATTTACACTGTGACAATCACAAAATAGGTAAAAGGCTTCCTCATTTTGCCACCTTGAACTGTCACTTGTTTGGGTCCTACAGCTATCCTGTAAGACACCAGCACAACGGCAATGATGAAGCAGTCGTGGAAGCTTGTGAGACATGCTGGAACAAACTTATATGACACTGGAATTTATAATCTTCTGTAATAATGGCAGAAGTGTCTCATTGTGAAGATATCATGGGAAAGAGGTAGCCTCAATCACTGGTCTTTCTACGGGACCCAACAGAATAGGCGTTTTCCCTCACCTGAGGACAGAAACAGATCCAGTTTCCGAAACGTTGTGTTTTTCTTAGTTATCTTGAAACCAGGACGATGGATAAAGTCCAAAAACCCAATATCTCTGTGTTATACACCATCGTCAGAATCCTATAGTAACTACTTATACTGTCATTATGTCACAGTAAAATAAATATACAATTCAAGCAAAGAAAATCCTCATGTCTTTTAACTAGCACCATTACTTTTCCTTTAGCAGAAAATTTCTACAGTGAATACCTCAATATTTTGTCTCTGTAGTTGTTTTTCTAACGAACATGAAAAATCCATTTTTTTAATGTGAAAATCTGTTTATTATGTAGTGTTTCCTACATTAGCACTCCCATGAATTTAAGAAACATTTCCACTATACAAGTTAGACTGGTAGTGCATTATTCACACTGCCTGTCAGTTAATAACCTTTACCATACAGAGCTGAATGTTCTGCATCAACTGTACATGTATGCAGCATCTATATCTCTCAAGCAGGAAACAGTGAATAGAAATGTCTCTGAACCACACAATATGCCTTTATTCCTTTCTTGCACGGTTGTTTACATCATCCTGTGTCTGTCAAGGTAAACCTGGGGTGCAGTGCTATTATGCCTGCAGCACAAGCATGGTGTGAAATTTAAAGTTCCATTAAGTTTATTCTGTCATTTAAGATTCAACTGATTGATATACAATGTCTTTCCTTGATTACTGTCACATGATTTATACATTTACCAGATTTAACACTATACAAAGTAACAGTACAGTACAGTTCAGTTTTATAGACATACAAATTTAGACACAATATCAGAGAGCAGGGCACTGCACCCATAAAATCATTGGCCTAATTTTTATTGATGGAAGAATATATATTATGCAACAGCTGAGAAGTGAGCTATATATGACACTAGAAAGATGAGACACATACACAACTGTAATATTACTGCCTTTCTGGCCATAGTCCATCATCCAGTGTTCTAAAATGGAATACAATATTCTGATAGTTGCTTCTGCTTCCATCTTTGAGTACCTACCCAGTTGGGTTTCACAGGAAGAGGTAATCCCAATCACTGGATGGCCAGTGACCGGGATAAGCTCTCTGAATTTGCTGATGATAGGAGCTGACCCAGATCCCAAAACATCATGTTCCATTTTAAAATATAGGACAGTGGCCAATGTCCAGAAATGCATTAATACTAATGTAATACAACACTGTCAGAACTCTTTGGATTTATTACACATAACTGTGCTGTGGGTATGACTAATGAAGTTGGCAAGGTTCATTCTCTTCTGAAAGGAATGCAATAGCAGATCCCCTAATTTTGGAAGTTCCTCCTTATCAGTAATCAATTTTGGAAAGTAATTTGTAATTGTGACAAAGTGTTTGCAAGAACAACTGATCAATGACTAGAGTTATGGAGATTAAACTAGGTAGTTCTTTTACATACTCAGAGAATGATTACAGCTAATTGAATGAGTGAATGAGCTGGTTAATGTGCTTAATACTGATCCCTGATTCATAGTTGATTCAACAGATTACAATACGAAACTGACTAGAATGAAAAATTTTATTTCACACAAACTATTCAAGTACTGTATGCATTATTTAAGTTTTATCTTAATTAAAATGTTATGAATTGACGTCTGCTAGAATAATATAATTTAATTTAAAAGACACTCTGCTCACAAGATTATAATGGCAAGAATTAAGTGATCTGGTAACACACAGTTAAGAGGATTGCATGTGTTCATATTTCTATTGTATGTACATGCATCCTTGTCTGTGTTTATGTCTGTACATATGTATGTATGTGAGAGGGAGAGAGAGAGAAAATGTATACATCACAATTCTTCATTTCCAGAATATCTGTGTCACTTGCTAAGACAAAAGAGGCTAGGCTATGCAACTGAAGCAGAAGGAATTCTGAATATATTAGGTTTAATATATAAGATATTGATTATGTGCATTATTCTGTCATACAACTTTCACGGCAATAACTGTGAAAGCATACTCAGTTTGATGAATGCTTTACATATATACTGAATGCTCACACTACATCTTCTAGTTGTACCTGATGTAACATTCTGCCAAGAGACACCATTTTCAAGAACCATGTACCCATGTCTTGAATACTAATATGAACTGTAATATTTCTGCCAATATAATTTGTAAAGTTAAATCACTTTTCAGTCAAATGAGAAAAATTACAATTCAGAGTATGTTTAGGCATTTGTGAATAATAAAAAAGGCCTGGAGACTCTTTTAACTTTTTGAACAACATGAGCTGATTAGATTAGATTAGTTCACCCTACTTGCAATATAACTGCCAGAGCTAATGAGGCTGGCTCAGCATGGGTTGGGATTAATTGTATAGAAGAACATTTATGTCAACAGATGGCTTTGGCATCAATTATTATATATATGAGTATATTGACGTTTAGACATGAAAACCAAGCTTGTGCCCTATCTAAATCTGTGGTTGTTTGGAGGTAACCAGTGGCAATATTGTGGACTTTTTGGGTGTTGCAGTGTTTACCTGACGCAGCCGTGGCATTTCTAGCATATAGCTTTATGGAGGGCATGTAGCCCAAGGGTTAAATAGCGTATACAACATATATGTTACTTTTCTCTGAGAACTTGATCCTTACTACATACGGAGGGACATCAGTTTTGTTGGGTTCAATACTAGTAGTGAAGATCTTCTCATTAATGTGATTATTGTGATGTATATAGTGACTTACACTCTGTACTCTTTTTTACGTTAAGACTTCCGTCACCACCCTTTCTTTTCTTCAACGTGACATTTCAGTATGTGCATTCTGATCAAATTCTGTTCTCTTCCTTGTAAGATCCATGTCAACCCAATATCATATGGATAGGTATCTATTTTCTGGTTCCTCGTTTTAATGTGAAATATTCCATCACTTAAGAAATGTTAGGTACATGGTTCTTTCTTTATATCAGCACTTTTCCTTAAAAAAGGTTGAAGCCTCAGAAAGGCTGTGTTCTCAAACAGACTGACAGACAAAATAAGGATCCAGGAGACACTGAAGTTTAAATGTAGTCACAGACATACAGCAATTGTGAGTATCATCAACTTAAATTTTGCAGAAAGTTAAATTTAATTTTTCTGTGTGCATAAGTAACAGTTGATAAACACAGCCTTCAGGATTAATCTACACTTACTGTACAGTACACAATAATGATCTATACCCTGAGAGATCACACAAGTCAGCTAAAGCTGCTAGTATAGGATTTGGAACTCCTGTGGGCAAATCACAACTGCTTATTACAGTCATGAACAGAACTGCTGAGAGGAAGGCCCAATAGCTCTGGTCTGAGGTCCACATATCCTGTATGCAACCCTTGCTAATCACAAAAAGAAGTCTTTGACACACCAGTACCTGCCTACACTTCTTGCAAATAGCTTCCTATTTTCATTCCTACCAAACATATATATATATATAATGTAACTCAGAAAAAATAATGTTTATTGCTTTACAATTACTTCTGTGTCTGAACACATATTTTTATCTCTCATAAATAAGAGAAATTCCCTATATGTACCACATTTTTAACCTGAAAACTTAGGCACAAGCACACCCAGTGAGGTGCTCTTTCGGTGACCTCACTGACATGGAGCAAGAACCACACTACAGAGTTAGCAGTGTTGTCATGCAGAGTAAAATTTAATATTCTAATATGAACATATTTCCAGTGTAATAGATCAATAAAATGCCTGTTTTAATGTAATTATTTCTAGCAAATGTTTCACATATTATCATATATGGTATAACAGTGTTGGTCCTATCTTTTAATGGATTGTTCAAAGAACTAAATTTTTTACTACAATTCACACAAAATAACGGGAAATGAGAAGATTATATTAAGAAAGATACGAAACTGGAATTGTGGGTTGCAATTAACAAATTGTAAGTAATTTAATAATGTGATGGGCAGGAATAGAATTAAAATGGATAGAAATAAATTAAATTCATAGGGTGAAGTTAATAAAATAAAAAAAAAAAAGGAGGGGCCAATGTCGAAGGGAAATAGTTAAGAAAGAAGGGATAAAATAAAACAAAAGTAAAGTAAAAATGACAAGGAAATACAAGTAAAATAAAGTCTTAGATTTTCTCCCTATGTTTGCCCTCAGCATATCTATATTTCTTAATGCAACAGTCGCCTATTGCTCTGTCACCAGCCCCAGTCTTGGTCTTGCTTCTGATATCAGAACCACTTTCTCTTCTACCATGAAGATGATGGCAGCATGTTTCCCCCAAAATCAGTAACCACCGGATTACACGGTGACACATCACACTATTGTGAGAACCTCAAATTTCAGTTACCCACTCACCAGTAAAAGATTAAACTGCTTTATTACTGGTACTGCGAAAAAAAAAATAATGGAAAATTAAAATTTTACCCAGTGCCACTGAAGCATGGGGCACAAATACCCAAGGTATAACTACTGGTAACCTCAAATGGAGCCATATGTGCACTTTTGGTTTTATTCTGCCTAGGAGGACGGGGGGACCTGAAGGTGTCACATTTTGATAATGATACTTTTCCTTAAAGAAAATGTACTACATTATGAAAAAAGTACAGTTATATAATTTTGTGTGAATTCTGTGTTTGCAAATTAAGATTATATACAGTAAAAAAGCAACCATGCTGTAACAAAAATTTCTAAATGAAACAATGGGAATATTAGTTGACATCATATGTAGATCATGATGTGCTCAATGAGTGTGACAGACAAGTATCAAATATAGTGGATAACTGCATATACACATATATTTCCTCTACCCAGGATGGCTACAGGCTTATAACTGAGAACTACAAAAAAAAAACCACACTCTGGCAATTCTTGAAGCCTAATAACAGGTTTGTACTTGACTGTATACACAAACACCATTCTTTTGGCATATATGGTGGTAGTTATATTACATGATTCCTACAACAGGTGACTACCGTACTTATGTGTAACAATAATGGCACAGACAGCATGTAACAACTGTTATAATGCCAATAAGAGTCAGAAGGACACTTCTAGAACCTGCTTAAACTGAAGGTTTATCACATAGGTTTAGTACACAACTTATTGTTTTGTAAATAACTAGTTGGTCATAGAAGAGACAGCTGATGAGCAAAATGCTATGCATACTGACAAGGGCGTTGAGAGTGAAGGGAAAATGAATGTGGCATTACAGCCAGTCTCAATAAGGTGACATGTACCAGTAAAATACATGAAGATGGTGTTGATGATAATTTCGAAAGGAAATACATAAAACAACAGGAAATTAATATGTATTATTGCAACAGTGAAATCTTACCACAAACAGGCCCATCAGCTCTTCTACACTGAGAAAGAGTTGTTGCTATTTGATAGTTTGGCATGTACATTCTAATTGCTAGCAAATGTAGGTGCCATTAACATTGTCATGGAACTGAAGGCTGATAAATAAGTGGACCAAATGAAACAGTCAGTGTAACCATGGTTCAAAGACCAGAACTATGGTAATTTTATCACAGATATTGTCTGCATATATATCTATTTCCTACATATCTGTGAGTTTTTACTGTCTGGCTATTCAAGTTTGCTTCTGCTTTGTGACCATATGGCAACAACAATCATACAAACTGTCAAAACTGTGAAGAGAAGTAGCACACATTTAGCAAGACTTGGCTATAAATGAGATAATAGGAATGCACATATGGTTGTTATTAAATGTCATATTTTTAAGAAAATCAGATATTTTTTTTGAATTTTATACAATTAAAGTACAGCAATTTTCAGTATTTACTTATGTTTTATATGCAGATTCTCTGGCATCAGGCTTTTAGAAGATTTTTGTGGCAGCCAGTGTTCTTTTTTCATAAATATTGAAAGTTTTCCATTTCCATATTTCTCAGTAATTAAATACTGCATCATACACTCAGCCACATAAGCGATGCAATGTGACTAATTAGTGTTTCCGACCTGTCCATCTGTAGCACCAACATGTGCCTAGCAACTAGAGGTGCACTGCAGCGGCATCTGACTCAGTCAACTTACTCACTGACTCACTGTCTTGAACAAACTGTCCGTGGTGGTGTCAGCAGCGTCTGGTAAAGCCGTCTGCTCAGTACCAAATATGTTTGGAAAGGAGACACTTAACAACTGTTTATGTACAATACTGCATCTAAGTTATGCTAAAAATGGTAAAAAATTAGTTGGCTCACCCAAATATTCCAAACATTACGAATGTCAAAATGATAACTTGCATGTAAAATGCATAACAAATGGCCAATGATGTCTTTGTATGAACATGATACCATGCACAAACATGTAAAATTTGCTTGTAACAAAGATTATTTTTACATAGTTAATGATGCATACTGTCTTGCATTTAAAGTTCTGTTTCATAAAAAGGAAGAAAAAAATATATGTACAGAGCTCTCCAGGAAAACTTAAGAATGTTAGTGTCACAGTTGCCTTTATAGTATTTACAATGTTCTTGCAATGCAAACCTCTGGCTTAAGGGCTGAGGTCACATGCAAGGTACAGACTACCAACACTCAAATACATTATGCAAGATAATTTGCCAAAATATTAACTCACATAATTTTTAAGATAATACTATTATTATGTCTAATTTTTCTTTGATATTTATATATTTATATTATATACATGTTAATATATATATACTGGCATGCCCAATATGACCCGTCGCGCAGCTGAAAGTTGGCTTTATACGGCAGTTGTCTAGTTTTTCCAGGGCAAATAATCACAGGCAGAGCTCAGTCATAGTATAAACTCAACATATCGCCTAGTAAGATCAACAACAAATTACAACTAAATAACTGCAATTTTAGAACCAGCTACCACCTCCAAATTTGCTGGAGAGACCACCAATGCCTTTGCCAAACATGTTGCCCATACGACCAACCACATTTGTGGTTACGTTAGTAATCTTGGCTACATAGTTTCCATCTTCACCCAAAGTCTCCCTGATCGTCACTTTCGGTTTACTCCTGTCTCCATCATCCTCAATACCTGTTTCAGGGTATCCCCTACATGCAAAAAAAAAGACGGAGTTAATTTCTGGAATATTACTTAAAACTATAATACTAACTGCCATTCCATTTTATCGAGATACATACTCAGAGTCCTCATTGTCACGTCGGGTGCTCATTGTGAGTGCACACGTGGCCTCTTCAGTTTGCATGCGTTGCGAAACTGTTTGGTATGTCTTTGAATTGAGTTTATCCTCCATTACCCCTTGCAATTCAAAGTCTGAATACAGTTTCTGGAAGATATGTAGAAATAAAGAACTAGTGATTAAAAACATGAAAATGATTATGCTGTATTAAGCACCTTTTGTAGTTCTGAAATATGGTGTCTATGAATGTTCTATCTTCTGTGGTATAACACCGTGTAATCTTGAGAAAAACCAAAAAGCGTTTCCAAAGAATATATGGCCTCCATCTTCAGGGTTGAAAAATAAGCTTGCCTGTTCCCTACTTCATGATAATTTCTTGCATGACTTACTCTTCAGCCCTTAAGATGGAGGCGATACATCACTCATTAACATCCATTTACTTTCATCAGACTGCAGTGTGTTACATCCTAGAAGAGGGAAAAAATTTTGGTCTGGATGTTTCATACATGCAGGAAGCTCAATCTGTTACCTGTCCCATGGAATCTCAAAAGAGAGGGGAAATATGCAATTTTCATGTTCACATAAAACCTATCATTACATCAGGAGAAAGTTTTCAATAGCAAATTCCAAATTTGTATAATACACATAAAGAACACAACCATTAAATTGAATAACAAAACAGAAACCATTCTGAAATTATTAAGATTTCTCAAGAAAGCCACACTGATCTAACTCATAATTGAATATAAGTAAAGCTGTCCCGGTGCTTAATAAATCGAGCACTGCGCCACAAAGACATTGGAGATGCACAGCCAGCTTCACACCCCTGCTGCTTTACTTCCAGGGCAACATCCTCTAGTACCCCTTGGGTAGGAGAACGGGTGGCCACACAGCTGGTCTGGCTCAATTGAAAAAAAGAGAAAAATCTTTCCCCAGCAGGGAATCAAACCCTGCCTGACCAGTCCATAGCCCACCACTATACTGACTGAGCTATCCTGCTAAATAGTGACAAAGTTATTTAAATAATTTGCAGTTACATGAGCACTTATGTAGAAACTGCTGTTCTCTTGCAGGTTATAATTTCTTGTTTGCAAGAGCCTCAAACAATAAGCTATCCCACTGCCACTGCTTTTGAATATGCAATTTGGAAGAACTAAGAAAATTAGAAAGCAATAGAGCTGAAAGTGATGCATGGGCTTCTGGCCTATGGTGATGGTGTTAATTTACTGGGCGAACAAAATCCGTACAGTGATACTAGAAGGGAAGTTGGCCTAGAAGTAAATGCAGAGAACTAAGAACATGTTGATGACACATCACCAGAATGCAGGACAAAATTGTAATATAAGGATAACAATAAATTGTTTAAAAATGTGGCAAATTAAAAGGTTGGAGAATTAGAGTAAAAAATAAAAATTACAATTGAAGAAATTTGAGAAAATTTGTTCGGGTAGTTTCAGAGTCTGATTCACCTCTTACAAGTCACATAGCTGATCTAATGCTTTCAAATATATTTTCACAGATCTGCTAAAAGTGTTTCTAGGCAGAGGTCAACATGCAACAATGAAAGATGTGTCTCAGTGGATGAATGTTATTGTGTGTTGCTAGGCAGCAGTACACCAATGAAGACGCTGACTACAAAACATGTGACTTATTCTCTGGGTGGTCTTCTTTATGCAACAATAAAACTGGGGTTTTCTATGCGTCATCTGTGTGGAAGTTACATAATGAGGTTTAAAGAATAACACCAGCAGTTCAGTTCAGTTCAGCAGTCATAAGCTGGAGGATTTGACGATTCATCAGGAATATATCATTTAAGAAAGTTCAATAGTTGATGTGTTAACCTTGAGAGTGTTATAATTGTTTGTGTGTGATAAATAGAACAATCCTGAAAGTGTAATAACAAACTGTATTTATGGGGTGTGAAATTATGCAATGAATTGAGTTATCAAATCCGGCAGCAGCCTCCGTAGTCTAGAGGTAACGTTCCCACCTCATGACTCGTAGTACGCGGGTTCAAATACCTGGCGGAGGTCGTCGAATTTTTAAGGGCGGAAAAATTCAGGGAACAAGTCCTCTGGGAGGGACTTTAAGCAGTGGGTCCCATGTCGTAGCTTTACGGCACGTAAAAGAACCTCATATCTCCAAAGGAGGTCACTGAGCCAAATTACGGACATTTCCCGCCCAACAGCAGTCTCTAATACCTCTGGTAGATGGGGGAAGCATTATAGATACCTCTCAGCTAGTAGAGCCGGTCTCGCTGGCTGGGCGGGACTGATGGTAAGCACCAGTACCAGTAGGATATAGAGACTGGTAGAAATCATAGAGAGAAGCACAATAGACCAATACAGGTCTAAGTGCATGGGGAAACCCACCCTCTCCAATAACTAACTATCAAATCCGGCAAACATTATTTACTGTTATGTTACCAGGATACACGCGACAATATTAAACATGGGTATACTAGCCTACTCAGTGACAATTCTAATGCACCAGGCAGTTAGTTAGTTATTGGAGAGGGTGGGTTTCCTCATGCACTTAGACCAGTATTGGTCCATTGTGCTTCCCTCTATGATATTCTACCAGTCTCTATACCCTACCGATAAATGGTGCGTACCATCAGTCCTGCCGAGCAAGCGAGTTTGGCCACTTGCTTAGCGGTGTCTATAATGCTTTCCCCGTCTATCAAAGGCCTTAGAGACTATTGTTGGATGGGAAACATCCTGGAATTTGGCTCAGTGATCTCCTTAGGAGATACGAGGTTCTTTTACGTGCCGTAAAGTTACGACATGGGACACACAGCTTAAAGTCCCTCCCGGAGGACTTGTTCCCTGAATTTTTCCGCCCTTAAAAATTCGACGACCTCCGCCGGGTATTTGAACCCGTGTACCACGAGTCATGAGGTGGGAACATTACCTCTAGACTACGGAGGCCGCTCACCAGGCAGTTACTAAAATATACATTTCTGATGCCAGTAATACAGGAAGCACATACCTTCACAACATGTGCCAAACACATACACTGGTACAAGTGCAGTGAGTGGTCCAACCTCTCTGATAACCAGTTGCACAGAAGATGAATCTGAGCTGTATACCATTGCTGCAACAGATAAATCATGAATCCAACATCCCTTCTACTTCTCACTATGTACCACAGTGAATTAAAAAGTATGTAACATACCTCAAAGAAATTTAAAATCCACAGCTCATCATTGACTTTGCTGCGAATCTGATCCATACAGTTACGAGCAAAGTTGACATAAGCTTGTCCCATATCTTTGCCAGAGCCAGATACATTCTGAAACAGCATGTTTACACTATTTGTAATTATAACATAATGGGAAGGATCTAAGTGAATATAGAGACATTGGTCTGAAGACGAAGAAATGAAATTTTCCTAACAAGTCTATTTTTTACGGTGAGGATTTTTAGCCCCATGCCTAACCCCCAAGCTGGAGGACCACCCCTTGTCAGCTGTCCATGACCGCTTATTCAATATATTTGCAGCTTCCTTCCATACCTGGAGGGTGTCTCCTCCATCCGCAACCTGAGGACACACCCACCTAACATACGGAAAATGTACTGCAGCAATGTAGGGAAACTCCTTTGTCTATTTTTTGAAGATACTATAAGAAACAAAGAATATGATGTATGAGTAAGTACTAGAACTGGCTGCTCAGGTGGGAGAAACAATATGCTTAAAAGAGTATGGTCATTTAAAAAAAATGAGCTTATATGTGTACACAGTTCTGCCTTGATTCATTCTCCTGAAGTCAGACCTGCTCTGGGGCCCATCCAGACTCTTGTAAAATGGCTACCGGGGACTCTTTCTCTGGGCATGAAGCTGACCACTCACCTCCATCTAGTGTCCAAGTCAAATATGGTGGAAGTATATCTCCATTCCTTAATATGTCTTCACAGCATTGTACTTAATTAATTAAGTGCAGGAACAACATGTTGTTGTTTACCTTACCTCAGGATATTCTGAACAGCTTACACTAAAAATTATTCACTGTTTAGTAAAAAATATTTAGGCTAGGGGTGGATCTCTGTGACTCACTGCATACCGTGAAGCTAAGGATGGATCCAATCAAGCTTCCTTCATCATATCTGGATAGCTTGGAAAGTGTTGTCTCCAAGACTGAAACAAGCTTGCTGATCATGCCTTGAGTCATACTGGCTGATGTCTTCTCAATCAGGTCATCAATCTTGGTGTGATACTGATGCTACAACACAACAATAAGTCATGATTCCTGAGCTGGTCTCTGCTGACATTGCTTGTTTTTGTATATAATTAGCATATTAGTTGACATGGCTGAATATAGGTAGGTAGCAGAGGGAAGCTGATATTGTGTTCCTACTCATGTGTCTCATAAAGGATTAAAGTAGTAATATGAACTCGTAGCACATGGCACACAAGAAACAGGAATTAAACTTGAACATATCAGTCAAACCTTCAGGCCACACACACAAGATAATTCATAACTCATGACAAGGATGTAATAATTAAGCCTAATGTGGTCAAAGTGAACAATTCCAAGTGCACACAGAGACTGCAACAGTTTGTCATGGCACAACCTGACACTGCTGTTGAAATGGACATTCCTTCCTCATTATGCTGCATCAAAGGTACAGCACATTTCATATACATATATAGTGGTTCTGGATATTATCCATCATCCTGTTTTTATTTAAAACAAACCATAATGTTTCGGAGACTGGCTTCTCTCTCTGCCTTCAGGTGGAACCTACTCAGTTGAGCCCAATCAAGAGATCTCATCCCTACCTCTGGACACCTGCACCAACACAATTTTGTTTAGTGGGGGGGTAAAGTCCAATTGGGTCCGCTCGGCACGGTGGCCACTGATTACCCTATTGTACCTGCCCCGGGTGATTATGATGATGGAAAATTTGGTGGAATGAAGATTGGCAGGGGAAACAGAAGTACTCGGAGAGACCCCGCCCCAGCGCCACTGTGTCCACCACAAATTCCACTTGACCAGACCCGGGATCAAACCCGGGCCGCCGCGGTAGGAAGCCAGCAACTAACCGCTTGAGCTATGGCGTGGCCTGCATCATCACAAGATAGGGCATATGAGTATAAACCAAGAATAACATAAACCATATATGTGTGTGTGCGTCTGTGTATATACACACACCCACACACCCATCTTGTGTTGGTGCAGGCGACCAGAGATAGGGACTAGCTCTATCGATTGGGCCCAACTGAGTAGGTTCTACCTGAGGACAGAGAGAAAATTGTCTAAAAAATGCTATGTGCTATAGAAAAAAGGTGATGGATAAGATCCAGAAACACATTTTTGCATTAATATACAATCATTGCAAACTTTTAGACCTTATTTACTTTTAATATAGTACTGCTGAGAAGGACCCTGAAAAACAGACTGCCCAGACTACCAGTGATCTGCCTCCAGCTCCAGCCTGATTAGGCTTCTCCTCCACCACCACCCATACACAGATATCAAGCTACAGTGACAGCACGCAATGACCGCTCTGTACCACATGCAAATGAGCCTTATGAGTGCCAAAATTTATGCCATTGTTTTTCAAAAGGGTAGACCTGTGGATGATTTATTTTTCAGGCTGTGCACACAAGCTGCCTACAGTGACATCTGGTTTTTTTTTTCCTTGGCACTTCAGCCCCAGTGGGCCTAGGCCTACCTCCATGAACTTCTCTGTTCACTTCGGTTTTTCTAGATCTTACACATTTGGTAGGACTCCTTGGGCGAGTGATCAGCTCATCGCAAGGCCTCTACATGTACACAAACACAGAAAAACGCACACACACAAACTAAACATCCATGCTGAGTGGGATTCGAACCCATGATCCTGGTTTCCAAGCAAGCGAAGAGAGTATATGCCTTACACTGTTCGGCTACCGTGACCGGCTGTGACATCTGGCTAGTGACCGAATATTTATGCAGTAAATGTATACCAAGAATTTGTCAACCTCGTTCAACCCAAACCCAGTGCTGGTGATAACTTCATATCTATCATAATGGAAATGGGGGGGAGAAGTCCTATATAGGAAACATCTTACACTTCAGACCTTTATGAGACTGAGGACAACTAATGCTCAAGCATCATCATCCACTAACATTGATACTGTATCTGCAAACCCACCCATCTCGATGCCGACGCCCAGTTGATGTCTGATAAGTCTTCCTGAAGAGCTCATGTCAAAAATAGTATGTCAGACACCAGATTACCTGATATCACATTTGAAAAGACAGTACTCTGCATTGTAACCAAAATGAGCACCTCAGTCTGACTAAGTAATGCCTCATGGAGGCACCACTATGCACTGTCAGTGAAGATGGAGGCAAAATGTTTCTTCAGAACACTGGTATATATCTGTCAGATCGCACAGGATCGCATTTCAAAAGACAGTAAACTTTAATTTTAAAATGGAAATCAAATAAAAAAAATGAAACAATCTGATTTTACATTTGCACATTTCAAAGCAAATTGCAAATATAAACATAGAAGATTGATGTTTATACAGTGGAACCTCGCTTAATGAGCATAATTCGTTCCAGAATCTTACTCATAATGCAAAACAATTTTTCCCATATAAATTAATGTAAAATACGATAATGCGTTCCATGCCGAAAAAAAAAATACTAAAAAAATTTTATGTATAACGTTTATTCAAAGAAAATTATATATACATTGTTAAGGAGCATGAATCATCTTCATCTTTTCTTCTATGTGGAATGAACCAACCTGGAATGCGAACGCGATTTGCAGAAAAAAAAAATCGAAATAATTAGTTTATTATTTATGATGCATATCTAATTCTTTTTTATTAGAAAGGAGCAACCTTTCAACATCGTTGAGAATACGTAACCGTTGCACAGATATTCTTGTCACTCCGTTTGAAGCATCTGTCTCCTTAATCTTGTCCTTGTTCTTGAGGATAGTGCAAATCGTTGATGTAGACCGATTGTATGTGCATGCTAGATCAGCCACGCTCACACCTCGTTCTCACTTTTCAATGATTTTACCTTTCATTTCTACGGTTATTTTTATTCTCTTATGGCTGTCTCTTTGTGGCTTTTTCTTCGGGGACATTTTGCATGGGTTAATAAACTTTGCACAAAAAAAATCACAAATAATATGTCTGAACACAAGTTTGGAAAAATGTGTGATCACAAGCGACACTAAGATGCTAGCAGAACGAGTGCTAAACACAGATTGATGTAGCAAGCACACAATCTGGGACTTCCCCTCTCGTCACTCATTATGCAAAACGTCGCTCGTTAAGTGAGTCATTTTTTACAATTTGTTTTGCTCGTTATGCGAGGTTCCACTGTATACTGGTTGCTCTTACCTCCAGAAAACCAGTACATTTCATATATCCAGCACAAATTAAATTGATTTCAGTGTTTGGTTTACCATAATTCTTTAAATTACATATCATAAATCATTCTAAATTCATGGAATTAACTCCACAAAATATACAGAATTTTTCTAAAGAAAGTCATGGTAGGTAATTATTTGTTCCTTATATCTTTCAGCTAACATTTCTCCCATTTATTTAAAATAAAACATTTCTCTTTCATTACCACATCTACTCCATCTACTGCACAAAGTTTGAATGACTGATTCTTGGCATCCAATATCACATTCACCATGGCACACATTTCTGATGGAATGATGTAGTCAGTGGAGATGAAGGTGACACCTTTCTTCAACCACTGTTGGAAAGCATTGTCAGTCCTGAAGGGTAAGAAATACTCCAGTTTGTTATACTGTCTCCACAAAATAAAGTAGTGTTCATGAATGTTTGTATTTTTATATGCATACAATCAAAACAGTTCTGCATACTTCAATAGCACTAGTCTCCATTTACACAAATTTTGTTTACATGTACTCAGATATCAGAATCATATTAATTTTTGATCCTGGCACTTAGCTGTCATGAAGTGGTCTACATGAAGAGAGAGAAATTAATGTGACGATAACCTTCTGCCAAGATGGTCAAGGGCAACCACCACGTATGTCACAAGGTCACACAAGTAATTTGGGTTGAATCAAACTGATTTTCACATATTCTTCTCTATATGCAGTAAGAAGTTACATATACCTGAAATTTATAACAACAACTGTCATCGTCATCAAGGACTAGGCTTGCTAATTTGTTATGACTTCAAGAGAAATTTTCTGCATCTAGCCTTACCATCTTTCCATCGGTCTCCGTTTTTATTTTCTCCTTGCAGCAAGTGGAGATGAATGTTTCTGCATTTAATAATGTTATATTTTAGCGTCCTGTTGCACTGACTCATGTCCATGATTTATGCTAACTGTCTTACAGTGCATACACTTTTTTCACCTTACTCTTCCCTTTTGCACTACATGTTTCAGCACTAATGTGCCATCTTCAGGTGCGTTTTCTCTATGCACGTCTAACTATTGCATTGCATGCCCTGATGTCTTCATATTAAAATGACCCAAATATATATTCGTCACATATAATAATAGATTTTAAATATTAAAACTTTTCATGATTCGTCATCCTTACGTTGTATCTCAATACGCGAATCACGCCAAACCACCCCTGTGGGAGCACTCTTCCTACATTCATGTGTATGTGTGCTTTTTGTTGTATCTTGCTCCTGTGACTGCGTGCGTTATACTACTGGATATGTGTGTGTGTCTGCATTTGTTCCTCATGACCATGCCAATTTCTTTGATAACACCAGTCAACAAAGATTTTTTTTTTCCTGGGACTCGTTATCTATTTATTATTTAATAACTTAATGGTAATCCAAGCTCCAGCATCCATTTGATGCAGGGGACATGTAAGTAACTGCTTGCTGGGGGGTCCCACGACCACCACGGTAGCCAAGAAGGGCCAGCAGGAACCTTGAAATGTGACTAATGATGCAATGGAAACCAAAAGCCAGATCAATGGAATGTTGACCTTAGAAATAAAAAGGACACAAAATTCAAAGAAAGAATCTACTAGATTAGGATGCTGGAATAGACTCTTGCAATAATATTGGAATTACAAGATAAATCAATTGATACGAAGAATGTTAGGTGTACTTTCATATACAATGATTATGTTCTAATTTATAGCAGGGTTAAAAAAGGACAAAGGGCATGAAGTGGTGTATGAATGCTTATATTTCGAATATGTAATTAGAGATTATGCATTCATCACAGAAAGAACTATTTTAGTATCATTTTGGACTAATAATACTACATTAAATACATTTAGAGTGTATGCCCCTGAAAACACTAAACCAAAGGCAGAAAAGGAAAATTTCTACGATAATCTGGATGAACAGATAATCAAATTACCATCTAATCACCTCTGATTTTACGAGACATTAATGCAAGAGCTGGAAATTATGTAGTTGAAGGAGTAAAAAATGAAGGAATACTGGAGCTACTGACAAAATTCTGCATCAACAATAATCTTAGAATCAACAACACTTTTTTTGATGATGAAATCCAACATAAATATATAAGAGGCCAACAATTACACAAGATTATGTTGTAACAAAGAGAACTACTCATCCATTAAAAATCCTAGATTTAATGACTCACAACTCTGCAGACGTCAGAAGTAATTGTAATTTGGTTCTGACAAAACTTCAGTAAAAAATGCCCAAAATAAAGGAAAAATAGTCCACTGACAAGAAATAATTAAATAGAGGCCTTTGGGAAAGGAAAATATACAATATTTATATTGTTCCCAGATGTCGTTGAAGAGGGGGTCCTATTTTGAAATATGTACATATCCAGGAGAATAAAAATCTTGGTCATAGATCTCAAGGATTCTGAAGCTAGGAATGACTGCGTTGGCCAAGACCAAGAGCAATTTAACTAACCAACCAACCAGAGCCATCAGAAGGTAAAGTAATCATGGGTCCTGTGGGGCTTGGAACTAAGAATCACTGTTCAGGAGAGGGCCAGCATGAATTTAACAGTCAGGACTGAGTGGATTGTTAGGGCAGGAAGCGTTGAAGGCTCCCAGAACCATCAGACAGTAAATTTAAAGTCATGGATCCCGTGAGACTTGGAACCAAAAATCACTGCACTGGCAAGGGCCAGCAGCATTTTAGCACTCAGTCAATTAGCAGTCAGTTGTGAGACAGTCGCCAACCACGAAGGATGTGAGCCCAGAAGCAGAGGAATATCCACTGTTGAGAGCTGTTACCAAACAACAGCTTGTGAAGACACAGAAGACTTTGTGTGTGCTGTACTTACAGTGATTTGTTAAGTGCGCACATTAATGACAGTGTTATAATTATTTGTAGTTATGAATTATAAGTGTTCATTAACCTTTAAGGTAGGAATGTTATGTATATCTAACAGCAAGTAACAGTGAATGTTATAGTTATGGACAAAGAAATTGGTTTTCCACCTTCTAGATATGACTATTCTCAATGCATATCTATTACACAAGTCACGTGGTGGAAAAAAGACACATAAAAAATTCCGTGAAATCCTAGTGCGGGATTTGATTCTTCAATCATATGAGGCGAATATCATGGTCAGTGGCATTTCTCGGGGGAGGCCAAGTTCATCTGGGGCCCAACTGGGTCGACTGGAGGTGAAACATTCACAACACTGGCCAACCAAAGGGAAACAAAGATCTCGTGTGTGTTCACTAAATACACTACTGTAAAAAGTGTGATGTTGGGCTGTGTGTCGCGGACTGCTTCGAGATGTGGTACAAGAGCGTCAGAGTGTGAGGTATCATAAACTGTGAAGTGACACAGTTCAAACTCGCATACACTCTGAACAAAATATTATTGTATATAGTGTGATTATATTTACAAAATCACCATGTCTCAAGATTGAAGAAAAAACTACTCGTAAGTACTTTGGAATTTCATAACATATATAATAAACATTATATTTTGCATTTCATGACAAAATGATCACAGTTAATTTTCATTTGTAAAAACTGCTCTTTTGCGTAGAAAATTTTATTGTCTTTCAGGTTGTTTTTAGCTTGGATTTCTATGTTGCATAGAATGGAAAATATTTAGTTTTCTCTGAAAGTTTGCAATGTTAAAGACTTAGGGCCATTTAAATTCTGGCCACAGAGGGCTGCTGGCAATTTAAAAGTCTGTACGTTAAAGGTTAAATCAGATTACCAATCCAAACACTATGTCTAGTCATGAACACACGATAAATATTTTAAAATTATAGGCACCTACTATTTTTCATAATGTATTGTGTACATATACAATGCTACTTGTAAGATCTTCTCAGCCTTTGTGATTGTGGCTTGCTCATCAGAAACATTAAGGTCACTATTGCCATATTAGTGACTCTATGTTCATTAAGATATGTTGTGATGACATTCTTTACACAGATATTAAAAAGGTTCTTACCTGTGTCCTAACATTATTTTATGGGGCAATTACTTTCCTGTTCACCAAATTCAACTTGTATCGTCTCTACATGCAAACTCTGGACACCTCTAGTGACACATGAGATGCTGGTGGATGCCTTTCCTTTCCATAAGAATCCATAGATAAGTCTTGATTATTTTATCAAAAGCTTTCATACAATCAACATACGTCACGATGTTGAACCCTGCATGTCCTGTCAGTTGATACAGTCAGAATATAAGAACTGCCTTTCAGAAAGCTATGCCAACACCCCGTGTATTGTTTAATTATCCTATTATGCTGAATCTCAGTACTTCTGTGTGTATTTCATAACAGACAGTAAACAGACCAATGCCTCAATAGTTCCTTTTCTTGAACATTGAAATCACTCGTTTCATTTTGACAAAGGTATTCTGTAAATTTGGAAAATCTGTTTATGACATTCATAACTTTGGTTATTTTGTAAAACTGTATAAGGACCACTATTCCATTTCATCAGCTGCATCAAACTGAATGACCTCCTTCAAGGGTTCAGGGAACTGTTCTCATAATACTGTGACATGTTGCGCAAAGGAGAACCCCCCCCCACCAGCAGTGACGCAGCGGGTGAGTCAGCGCTCCCCTCCCCCTCCTCCGCACGGTAACGTAACAGCGGTTACTACCGCTTGCGTTGCTAGCAACACAGCGCCAGGCAACAAGGGTGCCTATTACGTGGCCGTATTGTCCGATCGAGTCTACATAAGGAGCAGTGAAGGCTATTCACAGTCAGTTGTACTGTGACAGTCGCCGAGTGCGTTATCAACGACTTCTCAGTTCGCAAGTTGAAACATAACAGCCGCGTGTGCGATAACCAGTGATAACCAGTCATATCTGGAGTGTGTAATTCAGGGAGACTTGTATAGCTCCCGCATTATTAGTACGTGAAGACTCTCGAAGAGAGTGTTAAGAGATTTTGTTCTAGGGTTTGTAAAGTGTGGAAACCCGTAACATTGTGATAATTAATTGTAGCCGTTATTTGTAGATTGTTAAATAAACCAATTAACCATCTCTACGGCGTCTTCAGTAACGAAACACGTTACATTGGTGTCAGAAGTGGGATCAGTAACGCAAAACACGTTACAATACATATAAGAGACTGTAAGTACCTTTGAATACAGGATTCTATCATATCACATGCCATCAATTTGAGACGTTGTTCCAAATGTTGCCGAAACTCAGCATCTGGCCAGTGAAGATCACGAATGAACGACTGTAATGCATCCAGTTTCCAGAAAAGATCTTCTGAAGTGGCACAGCCATTTCTGTAATAAGCAGAAAAAATGTCTATAAATAATGGCTGGCACAAACAATGACATTAAAAATTAATGAAGAAGAATTAGTGAAGAACATACTGAAGTATACATACTGTATGAATTCGCTTAATTCATTACTAATGTACTCCATGGAGCTGAGTCCTTCTTCAGAAGCAGCCATTTGCTCAACTACTCAAGAATATCCATGTGAGAGAAATCTGAAAGCTTGGTTGGCTGACGGAATTTATTAAATGCTCCATATGGGCTAATTCATTGTATTTTATACACTTGCTTTTACTTCCAATCTCTAAATTCCTGGCTTCATCCAAAGTTACTCCATAACCTTCACTTTTTTAATTCGCTTAGTGGTGGGTGGAGTCCAACTGGGGCCACTCGTTCCCACATCCTGTCGCCCAACAATGGGTTGACATGTCACAGTATGTACAGGACTGTATACTCAACATACCTTGCACTGCTGAAGCTCTCCTGAACGAGATCAGGAATGCGGTTGCTTCAGTTTTGGCTCATGAACTTACATCTGGTGAGTTTCCTAATCATTTTACTTTTCAGTGTCTTGTGCCACTTGAAGAGATGGTTTTAAACCGCAGAATAAGGGCGAGTATTCCAGTAGTGGTTCTGAATACAACTTCACACAAACGTCTTCCAGTACTGATTGGAGCTAGTGGAAGGTACAAGGGGTAAGGCCAACTAAGTAGCCGACCTACATGCAGCGGTACAAGGTTTCCTCTTATTGTGAACATTCTGTGTAAGGATAATATATTTGTAACATCTTATAGCAATATTCAGTTATGGAATTCTGTGAAAGCAGAGACTGACATACGAGTAGTGGCTCTTTTCAGGGAAATGTCTCCACTATCGCATTTACGGTCATGCAGTAGACTACTACTATACAATTACAAGAAGCAAATTTCCATACCAACTGAAAATGTTGCACTATCACAGCGCTCCTCATCAAAAATGTCAATTTTAAATGAAGCCTATGAAAAGCTACAATTCATAATACGTTCATTCAGCACTCAAAGATCATATCATAAGTACCATAGGACAAGCAGAGTTGTATAACAAGACCAAATGTATGAACATACCAACAGCATGTATTTTCTGTTTTTGTTGCAAGAATATGAATACATGCAAAAACACACACACACCTTTGACCCAGACACTATAACTAAGCTATATAGAAGGCGCTTACCCTTTGATTTCCCATCTCTCCTTTTCAAAACCTTTGTGGATGGACTGCGCAATGGAAGACTCCATCAGATCGACGTAGCGTACCACTAATGGTGCAAATGTGTCCCGTAGGTGCTGGTGGAACCGCCCATTCTTCAGGTTGTCTATTAAATAAATAAAAAAAAAATTATTAATTTCTACATTTAAATTCAGTAAAATTTTGGATCAGGCAGGTGTGCAAACTTCACTGGTAGATATGATTCGACTTCAGTGAAATAACAATACAAAGCATCAAGGACAAAATTCACAAAGCCTAAATTCCTGCTGGACTGACTTCTATTCTTACAAATCATATGTAAAGTAAAAAGTTAAGCTATCCCTGTAACAGGCCGTGAAGGCCCATAGGATTGGGAGATGTTGAGGGTCCCACATTACCTTGACAATCGGCTCAAAGATGGCGGTATGGTTGCCAGCCTTACGCGCCGGCCACGCTTCACTCCCCAGGAAAATTATTTAATTAATTCCTGGTACTCATTTCTGTTAGAGGCTCAGTAAACCCCAGGGCCTAGTGCAGCCGGAAGGATTAGGTCAATTGAAAAAATCCAATGACCTCATCGGGACTTGAACACGTGACTTTCCGGCTTGTAGCATAGTACCTTAACCACTACACTACCGCATACCCACATACAAATCATATCAGTCCTGTTCAAAACGTTCCCAAAATTATTTAACAGCAACTGTATTCCTAGAATTACAGCTTAGCGACATTTGTCCCTTTCAAAATACTTCCCTTGACCATCCAATTTCCCATTTTTGCAAGCACTTTTTGAAGGAAATAATCCAGTATCATTTGAAACTGTTTTCCTTTCCCAGTCATTTTATTTGGGGGAACAAAGAAGTCTGGAGGTAATAGGTTTGGCAAATAATGAATGAGGTTCTGGAAGGACAGGAATCGAACTCTCAACACGACACTTGTACATTGCTGTTTTCTTCGTACCACATCGTTGACACATCTCAGAACTTCTAGGTAACGTTTGTAACCTCCTGGCCCTAGGAAACAAATTAAAGTTGAACAATGCCCTGATAATAGTAGAGCACATAAACACTTTTCTCACATTCAAACACACTTACAGTGTTGTTTGCGTGCAGAAGTGCTCTACTCTTTCACAGAAGCCACTTCTGGCCTCTGTGCACTACTAGTTCACCATAACACTGTCCTCTTTCTTAGTCTCCTCTCTTCCTGCAATGCACTAACTTCTCATCTTTGTTACACTGCATTTAGTTGGACTGATGATGCTCTCTGCTTCTTGTTTGCTTCTACATATGTGTTTACTTTCAGCTCCGGTTGATCTGTTGGGAATTCCACTATTAATTCTCAGAGGGCTGTCATTTGTGGAGTTTCTTGTCAGTCTTGTGTTCTTCTACCATCAATATAAGAACTGGAACAGTCTACAGAAAAGGGAGTACTGCAGGTCTCAATGTTTCTATTGTATGACAGCCAAGCATGACAGAATAAGTTACTTGTGGCAAGGAAATTGCCACTGTACCTCTTATAACATTAGCATATATTGGTGAAATTAATTTCACGATGTTGGTTTGTGAATATGTCATGACCATAAGGAGATGAAAACTGTGTCACCAGTATAGATAACATGGGTTCTATTCAACTAAAGTCTTTTTTTCAATTTGAGTGTGGTAACTTGCAGTGTTCATTTGTTTAGATTCGAGAATTAAATAGTTATGGGTTATGTACATGTAGAACTATCATAATGTAACACATTTTACTGGGTGTTTCATGTAACATATAATAAAACTGATTACCATTCCAAACCCCATCTATAGTCACTAAATTGCAAGACAATACCTTAGCTTTGTCTGGAGATAGGAAATTGGAATATAAAACATGTTCTTAATTTAAATGCCTGTTAATTTCATCATATTGTGACTTATAGACCAATTGCTAGGCAACGACTCCGTAAACACATTCTTGTGGGAGCCAATGCGCACAACAATAGGACATCTATTGCTAGGCAACGGATCAGTAAACATGCCTAAAACAACATGGGACAATAAAAGATGGTGTTTTCTGTGGGGTCCACCCTGAGGCTATATAATGGGAAGTTCCATGGGAGCAGTTAGTTGTCGAGAACTGGGTCAAGTTCTGGAGGTGGCAGTTCATGGGGACTGAGAAGAAATTACAAGAACTGAATTAGACTGTGCAATGGATACTTAATGTGGGATTTGAAGTTACAGTGAGATGTTTATAAATCCATTGTCAGGATACAACTAGTGAAGACTGATAACGCTAGTGCATCTGTAATGGAGAACTGTAAAGGTTGCAGATCAGCAATAGCGCTGCAATTACCTGTAGTTCGCAGTATTCCATATAAGGTGTCAATAAATCCAATCATTCAATCCAGAACCTGTCTGTAGTCACCCCTCCATGTGACAATATAAATAATTTTGATCTGCTATTTCACTCTGTAATAACTGATCCTTAATTTTCGAAGACTTTATTAGCCTTCTTTGTATTATGAATTTGTCTTTCATTCTGATGATGAGACATGAACAAACAATCAGTTTCCTTTGCATTTACTTCTAGACAAACCTGCTCAGTGGAACCTGAGACTAATCTTTCTTTATGGCCTTTATGTTCTCTCTCAGCAATTTAAACAGGTCACCATACACCACATGTTTGCAGTGTCCCATTCAACTATAACCTCTTCTAATTTTCTTGGACCTTCTTAACAATGTTCAAAATCAATGCCAATGAAGTATCTCCTTGTTTCAGTAGGTAAAAAGTAAGGCTATCCCCGTAACAGGCTGTGAAGGCCCATAGGGTTGTGAGACGTTAAGGGTCCCACATTATCTAGACAATCGGCTCAAAGATGGCGGTAAGGTTGTCAGCCTTACACACGGACCGCGCTTCACTCCCCAGGAAAATTATTTAATTAATTCCTGGTACTCATTTCTGTTAGAGGCTGAGTAAATCCCAGGGCCTAGTGCGGCCGGAAGGATTAGGTCAATTGAAAAAAATCCAATGACCTCATCGGGACTTGAACCCGCTACCTTCCGGCTTGTAGCACAGTACCTTAACCACTATACTACCGCGTACACTTCCTTGTTTCAGAGCATTCTGAATAGAAAACAGACTAACGACTACCTATAGACTTTATATGTGTTTCATTTAAACTCATTTTAATTGACCTAACCAGTTTCATGGGTATACTGAATTCAGTGAGAATGTTGCACAATACTTCTGTCCTTACAGGAACATGGGCTATCTTGAAGTCTATAAATAGCTGATATGCTCCTGCAACGTACTCCCCGTTCTTTTGTCCAGCATGTGACAAATGCAGAATATCTAGTTGGTAACTGATCTATTACATCAATCCACGATGATCATCCTCAGTCACTCTGTCTACATATGAAGTAAATGTTGTGAGATAAATATTGCACAAACGTTTGTACAAAAGGGCAAAATGAGTATCAATGTCATCATCATTTTCATCATCACTGATACTGCCTAAATTACTTTCAGTCAGTGTATAATTACAGCAAGTCTGTGCAGTAAGAAAGTAAGCTTTATAACTCCTTGTTATATATATAGGTATAATAATGTAGTCCTTGCATGAATTCGCAATTCTTCCTCATTCCAAACAGAATGACTAAGTTTATTACCGCAGAACATAATGTCTTAACTTATGCTTGAATCTTATCAACAGTTATTGAACTTATTAACATTTCAACAATATGTAGACTGGAATTATAATGAATCAAGAGTATGCTTCTGAATTTGCATAACATTATTAACCGATCACATTTAATTTAATATGGAAACATCACATAAGAGTATGAATTGAAAACAGTCACCAGTAGCAACCAAAACGTTTTGCTGACAACTAATTTCTGCATCCTAAACAGAATAATCTGCTTGTGAATGCAGTTTACTAAATGCCACTTATGTACTACCAGACTAGTGCATCCAAATTCTTTTTTTTCATAAGATCCAGAGGTTTCTGACTATGGTATATTAATATAAGTATTATATTTCTGGACATTATCCGTCATTATGTCTTTATTTGAAACACACCATTTTGGAGACTGAATTCTGTCTCTGTCTTCTGGTGGAACCTACTCAGTTGGACCCAGTCAGCAGAGGCAGTCCCCATCTCCAGACACCTGCACCAACACAAGACAGGATATAAAAACCAAGCATAGCCCAAACCACCTACGAGAGTTAAGACAAACATTAAAAGAATTAAAAAACTCCATATGTTTGAGGACTAGCACCAGAGTACTATCCGAATATATATCATCACTAGAGAGATAAATGCTCTATTTCATACCAATATAAAAACACAATTATTCCAATAATTTACATGGGTGTTCTGATGGAACAGATGTCCAAGCTGGGTTGATTGATCAGATGATCTGTCAGAGACACGTGGGCAGATTCCTCTCTTCACATGAAGTGGGTGGTTGAACTACCTACCAACAAATTCACAGTAGAAGTTGTAGCTAATGATATCCTTCTCTTGTTCGATGTTTTGGTCATGAAGAGGGGTCTTAAATTTTCCATGACAGTGTAACAGAAACTTACTTGAAGTCTAACCATCCACATCACATGAAAAGCGGAGTCGTTCATAGTTTGATCAGTTGAACCAAGGTCATACGTCAGGATCAGAAGGATCTCCACAGTGGAAGTAAGAACATAAAACATGCTCTGATGTTTAATGAATACCCACAAGAATCCACTGAATTCATAAAGAAGCCATCAAGAAGAAACTGCCATTCTCCAGATACAATATACCCGCGCACTGTCATTATCTCATATATTAACAATATCTATGAGAAATTCAGACAAATTGGAAACTGTTTCAACACCAGGAATATTTTCGAAACTAAACATACATTCCATGAGACACTGATGAAAACTGGACCGGTTAGAGATGCCCAGCAGATGAAGCAGTTTGTGTAAAATATCCCATGTGATCATCAGCAAAACAAGCAGACTCTTAGAAGTATGCATTAAGGAGCACAAATATAACCTGACATTAGGTCTACTTGAAAAATCAAAATTAGCCCAACACCACAAAATATGAAGAAAGTTGTCTTCTGGGTTTAGGCACCGTGTATTCTTCGTTTTGGCCGACGTTTCGGAGGAACGTAGCGCCTCCATCTCCTCCGAAACGTCGGCCAAAACGAAGAATACACGGTGCCTAAACCCAGAAGACAACTTTCTTCATTGTCATCGCCGTGAAAACCTCAAAACTTACCACAAAATATGTTGGAAAGAAGTGAAAATGTTGCAGATTGAAGCAAACACCACATATAGGAAATAAAGGGAAACCTCCGACATATCTCTGATAGATCATCTGATCAGTCAACCCATTTTGGGCATCTCTCCTGTCTAGACTCTCGTTATTGCAGTAGAAGTAAAAAAACTACAATTCTGTCCAGTGTAGAATAACTGGGAAAATTGTGTTCTTTTACATTGGTACAACACAGAGAATTTTTCTCTCTAGTAATGACATCTATTCTGATAGTACTCTGGTGCTAGGCCTCATGCATGTGGAGTTTTATGATGTATGTCTTAACTCTCTCAAATGGTTAGTGCTGTGCTTGGTATGTATACCCTATCTTGTGTTGGTGCAGGTGTCCAGAAATAGAGACTAGCTCTGTCAATTGAGCCCAAGTGAGTAGTTCCACCTGAAGACGTAGACAGAATCCAGTCTCTGAAACGTTGTGTTCTAAAAACAAACTGGATGTCCACAAACAAATTATCTTTCTGTTCAATTCATCACACCATTTCCGAGCTAAGAGCACCAGAATTTGTCACCCTTGTCACATTTGATCTTCTATATTCCCACTATTTCATTAATTCTTGTATTCATAAAACTAGGTAAAGCAAATTTTATCTTATGCTTACTTGTATAATTCTTGTCCTCAAAATTTTAGTATCTCAATGCTTGTGTCAGCCTCAGAAGTACAGAGCAACATAACAACATAATAAGTAAACAAATACTATTACAGTTATCCCTTACCATCTGTTCTCAGATAATCATTCATGATTTGAAACAGTGGAAAGGAGTCCCATGTGTCGGGAGGTTGTTCTGCCAGCACTTGGTCCATATCAACGGCAAACAGTGACCAGAAGATCTCAGCATGCTCCACAAGAAGGTCGCTGAACCATGCAAATGCCTGCATTCAGACATTAAATACTTCACATCAACTGGAACTCTTAGTGGTTATATACTATGCATTTTACAGAATCGTGCAAACTTCATGCATCTGCATGTTGTCACATAAAATTTCTATTCCTTAAAATCTATAGATAAATAAGTGATTTTGGTTACGATACAAGACTCTTAATCATGTACAACGTAACAAACTTAAAATATATAACGTATCAAATCTAAAACAAATGTAGCCTCTCGTAACAAGACTTAGATTCCATTCATACAAGATATTTATTTGTTTAAGTTCATTCCCTGTGTCATCTCATTCCATGACACAGACTCATATTAACCTTCCTATTAAAATTGTTTTTGCTTCAGGGCACATTGTGTTTATTTTTTTTATTTGTTTCATTCTGGTCTGTCACACTAACATTCGGAACACCCGTTGTAATAGTGGTTTCCAAAGAGTATTGATGTCCTCTGATGATGGTCTATAGGGACCAAAACATGTAAGGGTATTAAGAATTGAAGCAGTAAAAGCTTCAACAGTCACACTGGACGGAGTTGTTTTATCTTTTATAATATTGTGTTTAATTAAATAAAATTACTGCACTATACATTTTCATGTGCAATGTCACACCACTAATACGAGTAAAACCCTGTAAAGTAACTGTAAAGTAACACTACTTGAAAACATTCCAACTCTCATAATTTTGCAGAAGATCACTGGCTGAAAAGACTGATATTTTGGTTTTAAAAAGAAACACATGAAAATATACAAAGTTAAATTTTCACATATATATATATATATATATAACTAAAATATTCCCTTTATGAAATTCAAGGTTCGCATGGCAGTCACTATAAAAGTAACCTGTCCTCTACAATATGATGTAAGGCAGCACAGCAGTATTTTTTTTTGCATCCTGTTGTGTATAATATCGATGGATTGAGCCATCAACACAACACTGAAATAAAATGCTTATGATTTAAATAAAATCAATTAAAACACATCAATCAATTCAATTTGTCTTGTTACACTACATGTTTAGGTCCTTGGACTGAAATACAAGGTGCTATCAGCAAGTTCCCGGACTGTTATTGTTGTAACTGTCTTGGTGAAAGAAGATAAGGGGGGAGGCCAAGGTCACACTTCCGCAAGCCTTCTGCATCAGTCTGCCATGTGACACTGCACTGTGATCATGCATTGTTTTTACATGAGTGCTTTTTCGGCTTCATGTTTCATTTTGTCTGTGATGGATGGTAAAATTGAGCAACGTGTCGGCATCAAGTTTTGCATGAAGCTTGGTAAATACACTAACAAAGCCTTGAAATTCTTTGAGAGGCTTTTGGAGAACATTCTTCAAGCCAGAGAGTGACTTCTGAATGCCATTCACGTTTCAAGGCTGGTCATGCGTCAGCTGAAGATGATAAACATTCAGTGCGAAAAAAAAAAACACCGGAAAAATGACAGAAAATGTTGAAAAAATTCGAGAACTCATCCATAAAGACTGTCGTTGAACAATCTGTGAGCTTGCAGACGCTGGGATTGTCACCCACAATTACCAATAGCAGAAAAGATGCGGAAGGTCTTGAGTTTAGCAAAAACCATGCTCACTGTTTCCTTTAATGTGAAGGGGACTGTTCACTGCTAATTTGTTCATCGTAACGCAATGGTCAACTCAGACTTGATGCTAGAGGTGCAAGAGAAGTTAAAATCTCAAGATTCTGCTATTAAAAGAAACATGTAGTGGTGATGGTGTGGACAATTGCTGACTGTCATAAATCACTTTATATTATTTTCAAACGAAAATGATAACTAAGGATGACATATTCCTTAAAGACATTATTTTGTATGCATACAAAAATGTATGGATTTGATGGAAGAGTGGGAAAAGAAATGCCTGCAACAAATGCTCTGACACCTTTCATGGGGGCCAATCTGAAGAACAAATGGTTAAATTTGAGACAAAGAATTTGATGGGGATGTTGATTCCTGGTTGCATGATCACCCATCTTCAGCCACTTAATGTTTTGATTAATAAACCATTTATATGTTATTTAAAGTAGAAATAAAAGGTTAGGTTCCAATCTGAAAAACTTAAACCAATACCATTTGGTAAGTTCAAAAGGGCACCTGCTTCAAAACATGCAGAATATTTCTCCTATGCTTATTAGAAAATTACTGGAAAACCTGTTTGAGGAATATTGCATTATAAATGCATTTGATGGTACCAAGTACGAGTATGATATCTTATCAGACAATTCACTTCTTGACTATCCTTATTTAGAATTCCAGAACAAACTACAGACTCAGAACGTGAGACTAGAGGCACAAGTGCAGAAGACGGTGAACAGAGAAATTTAAATTTTCAGTTCTGTGTTGATTTGTTTATTAATACAAAGAAATTTTATGTTTGAATATTAACAATTTGTACTATATGTATTTCCTTAAACTCTAGTATTAAATTAAGGGCGTGCATAATTTTCCCCTTAGTACTTACTTACTTACTTACTTATGGAGCTGAGCCCTTCTTGAGGAGAAGTGAAATCTGCATCTACTCAAGAAATTCCCATCATTTTATGGAACCTGAAGGTTCATTACCATGTTCACAAGAGCCCTCCATTGGTCCCTATCCTGAGCCAGATCAATCCAATCAATACCATCCTATCTCTCTAAGATCCATTTTAATATTGGCCACTCACCTATGTCTTGGTCTTCCCAGTGGTCTCTTTCCTTCTGGCTTTCCCACCAATATCCTATACACATTCCTCGTCTCCCCCATTCGTGCTACATGCCCCACACACCTCATCCTCCTTCACTTGATCATTCTAATTATATTAGTAGAAGAGTACAAGTTATGAAGCTCCTCATTATACAGTTTTCTCCAGCATCCTGTCGCTTCATCCCTCTTTGGTCAAAATATTCTCCTCAACACTCTGTCCTCAAGTACCCTCAGTCTATGTTCCTCCCTTAATGTCAGAGACCAAGTTTAACACCCATACAGAACCACAGGCAAAATTATAGTTGTGTATATTCTAATTTTTATGTTTTTGGACAGCAGAGGAGAAGACAAATGGTTCTGGACTGAATGGTAGCAAGCATTACCCGAGTTCAGTCTCCTCTTAATTTCCTCTTTAATGAGGTTTTGATTTGTTATCGCCATTCCCAAATGTCTGAATTGTGCCACATTCTCTTTCCCCTTAATAATTATCACTAAATTAAGGGTGTATTTTATAATAGATTGCATCTTAAAATCAAGGAAATACGGTATCTTAATATGAAAAACTGTTTTAAAATATCTCCCTGAAACTTCATAAAAAGTTGTCAACAGTATCCTTGTAAGATTTGAGGCTTTCACGGCGGTGACTATGAAGAAAGCAGTCTTCTGGGATTTGGCACTGTGTATATGTGCCCACATATACATGGTGCCAAATCCCAGAAGACTGCTTTCTTAACAGTATCCTTCATCTCCAAAAAACTAAATATAACTGGGTTCAATTTTCTTGAAGATTTTCTGCAAATGTTTAGTATATTTCAATAAAAGAATTCCATAATTTGCAATTAATAAAAATTTGCTATGGTAAAATATCAATTTAGCCATGTAAATTCTCGTGTTTCTCCATTGAAGTCCCAGAGTTTGGAAGTCTATATACCATATGAGTGTATTTCAGAGTATTTTCCACTGACAGATGATAAAGGCTGACTCTTCTACATAACAGCAAGATTAGCAAAATTGGTGACTAATATTTACTTCTATAAGATGTGACTTTGATGTGTAGCTTCAAAGCTGATCATGTGGGGTTAACTCTTCATTCTCCTTTGAGCCACATGAGAACTACTGATGTGTGCCCATTTGCCTCAATGTTTATGACAGTATCACATATATGTCTGTGTACACATAAGCTAAAACATGCAGAGATAGCAGTGTATGTGCAGAATGAAAGGTACATTACTTACTTTATCCTGCTCAAAAATCAAAAAGAAGAGAAAAAAGAAGTTTAGAGAGTTTCAACACATAATAGGACACAACATTAAATGCACTTTACAAAATACATGGCATTAAAAATAGACACAGAAAGCACAACAATAAATGCATGGGAAGTAAACTGTGCAACTGTTTTGAAATTTGGTTCAGATTAGGTAGTCATAACACCATACAGCATAATACAGTAGAAATGTAGAAGTCCATGAACACAGATTATATTAACTTCTACACACGAAAAAATACAGTAAATTCTTTATCTGGAATGTATGGGGAATCAAATTTTCTGCTTACATGCATCTGCCAGTTGCATAAGAGAACTTACAGCAACCATGATGTTCACCCTTTTACAGTCTTTTACTTATTTCTATTTTCTGTGTCAAGGTCTTCTTAGCTGACATAGCACACAGATCGGTGAAAGATTTTGGATATACTGTAATGTGATTACAAATTCAACTAACCTGCACCATAATCATAGATCACTATGATTGTAATGGCACCTGCCTGTGAATAGTGGGTAGCACTATTTGTGGCAGCTGAGAGAGCTCCCACGTGAAAATAAGCGCATTGTAACTTTCTTTTGGGACTATCCTTATAGAAATAATAAGTTTTCTCTGAAATTGTTGCTGGCTACATGAGAATTCCAGACTATTGAATACTGGATAACTGTGAGTTTACTGTACCTCTCTTGAATATAGTCCTTCTATTAAATAAATGTTTCACAAATACATATTTTACTGGAAAAAAGAACTGCTCTTAGTTTGCTGAATATTGTTTATAAACTACGGACCACATTATTTTAATAAAGCAAGCTGTACATTGTTTGAAAGCCACAAGCATCTCTTCTGTTTTTAAGTTTGTTAATTAATGACACTATCAGGGGAAATCAAAGTGCTTGGAGAAAACCTCCCCCATTACCACCTTGTCCACCACAATTTACACAAGTCAGCTGGGATTGAACCCAGGCCACCGCAATAGAAGGATGGGGACTAACTGCCTAAGCTATGGCACAGCCCCAACAAGCATTTTAAAAGCTGATCTGAGAAATGTTTGAACATGTAATTTCAAATATGTCATACTTTTAAGTGAAAAATGAAGGCCAGAAATTTCAGAAATTGAAGCTGCTATTTTTAATGAGTGGAATAAAGTGAGGTTTACTACTACTACTACTACTACTACTACTACTACTACTACTGATAAAATTGCTGGAGAAAATCATAAAAAAGTACAAAAAGAAAAGAACGATCTTTCAGAACTACACAATTTCCTCAAATTTACATTATATGGTCAGCATACATTTTCATGTTAGAACTATGAACTAAGCTTTCTCATATTTTTAACATTTTAAAAAATGCATCAGGTGCAACTAAAGAATTACACATTTGTTTCATTAAATAATTTTTAACACTTCAATCAATGAAAGTTACATTTTTAAAATGCATGAAGATTTAGTACAGAATAGAAATAGAACATAACAAAAGAGAACAGACACAGAAATATAAATCTGGATTAATAAAATATCCTGCTCAGCTAATTCAACCCTGAATTTGAGGTGGTAAGTTCCTCCAAAACACCGTTGTTATCAATGGAGTACAAAGTGTTATATCCCAGAAGATAGTACTCTTTTATTTATAGTTTAATTTCACACCAGAAATTAAAGACCATCATTTACATCTAAGGCTGAATTATTAAATTTAATTACTATATTTGAAATATTTACAATGAATTTGAAAACCTGTTCTATTATGTCAGTTAGTTTCACACATATCTGAAAGTATTACAGCTGTTAGAAATAAAATACTGATGTAAGGAAATAGATGAATAAAGTAAGGCTTCCATTATCTGTTCTGCAGAAATTTGTATGCTCCCAAGTTTCACATGTAGCAAAAATAAGTCATCAGCTGGATATGGAATCAGATACAAAATCATGACGTTTTGGATGGAAAATGGTAGGACATGTTCAACTAACACTCACCAATCTGTAAGCCTTCGAGCACACAGCCAACGTGTTGAGAGGACAGAAGAGAGACCAGAACAACAATTAGTAACAATAAGGAAACACAAAGAAGGATCTGACCGGTGTTCTACAGATTCTTATATAACAGAAACTCAACCACAAATGTACTGTTTATTTAACTGTGACCAGTTCAAGCTGTGGCATTCCAGTACCTTGTTGACGGATCTCCATTCGCATCATTATGATCATGTATTTATAAGTACAGGTTTAAACCGGCATGAACTGTATTGTAATATAATTTTATAATCATAATTCACCCAAACCAAATAAAATCTTGCTCGAAATATTTATTTTAAACTGTACATGTATTTTTTTTTAAATTTGTTTACACTAGGTGCATATTGAGAAGCAGGTAGCAGTGCGATGCATCACTAGGCAGGATGGATTTTTGTATCTATGGTTTTCAATATGACAGAGAGCACATTACAATGTAGGGCAGGGCAGCACAAATGCAGAGCTGTGTCAGCTTGTGTAGGTTTGTGGTCCAGACAAAAACTGCAGCTTTGTTTAGCATGCAGTTGTAGTGTTTGTGAGGTGTCTGGTGTGAAGTTGAATATATTGAAATGATGGAAGAATTTAGTGAGAGGATTAGAAATGAAACAGTTCTCTATATCAGACAGTCTGATCATAGAAAACAAAGCCCAAAAATTATACCTAGGATGGAGTAGCTTAAGAACTTAATATTGAGGATGTAAGTAATAATGCATGAATATTTTATTCAGTTTCAGTCTCACATTAATAGCTCTAAGATAATTATAGGGTTTCTACCTTACAACATGTTTTGGCAGTACTTATAGAACCCCTCCCAACTTTTCTGCTATCCATCCACATATGGCCAATGTTTACAATTGGAGAAAAGTTTATTGTTGTTTAAAATATATGTTTTTACTTATAGACTTAACACACATTGTTTCCTGCATTCTGAAATGTATGCATTATTTGTAATATCAGTTGATATTTTGAAAGATATAAAAAATAGGAAAATTTACAGTATTTCTTTAAGTCTACAATTAATGACCTACATGGTAAACAATACCACCTTCCTCCAATTGTAAACACGGGGCAGTGGAAGGGGACAGCAGAGAAGTTGAGAGAAACTGTATACGTACTGTCTGATGATAGCCAGAAATAGTGGCCAAAATATGTCGTAATGTAGGAACTGTATAATTATCTTAGAAATATACACAGTGTATGCAGTATATGTTAAGACACATTTTTTTAAATTTGGCCCTGCAATGCCATCTGTTGGTGAGTTGTAGCATTAAGATTCTTGAAGATTCAGCTGTGGCTGCCTATAATTTCAAAGTGCAAGCATCGCTGCATCATGTGTTCTGACCTTGAATGTAACAGTACTGTACGGTATGCATCTGGCTTTTACAACTTTATGAATGGGTTCTGCCTTAATTTCAAACATGAACACTCAAAATCAAGAAGGCAAAATTCCCCGATGTTTCTTCTGAATTGCAATCATCTTATCAGTATTGTATTATCATATATAATTTTGTGACAGAAGGCTTTACTTCAAATTAAACTGCACTCTGCTTTCACTAATGTGTATACTTTCAATAAATTCAATGCCATTCTCTGTCATATTCAAATTTTACCTTAAACATACTGCTAGATTTCCTTTACTTCAAAAAAGGTTTTTGTGCATTGCATCCGTCAGTCAGTATTTAACTTTTGATGATACTATGAATGTAATAAAACTGTCCTGTTCAATCCAAGGTACTTGGAAAATTTTACTCTGAAGATTCAAATGTTATGGCGATTTCTTTTCCAGAACGATTTTTGTTTACTTACATTGTACAACAACATTAATGTTTTCATTTCAAAATCTTAATCTGAACTAAGGTCTAATAACACATGTGCCAGGTACAAGATGATAAAACCGTTCAGTAAGAGAGATGTGATCAAATTTGGTCACACTTCTGCCTATGCTGCTCTGCCTTGCCCGTGCTGTGCTCTTCTGTCCTGATCTTTCCAACTCTCCTCCAGTGTCTCAGTGTGTGCCTAGGCACAGTATGTGATACTTTATTTCCTTTCCAACATTCATATTCTTGCTGCTTGTGACATTCTCACATAAGTAATGCTAACACAACACCACAGCTTTCACTGCTGACATGGTGCAGATACAACACTGGAAGGATAGCACAACACCAAGCATGCTGGTTGACTGAGCTACATGAGAATAAGTCACAGCTATCCCAACCCATTGCAGCTCACATGATGTTTTGTATGTGTTTTTGAATAATAAATTTAGTACTGGTACCATTACAGTATCTCAGTCAATTGGGCACCTACAATAATGTTATATTTGTAAAGTATGATAGATAGAATACATTTAGTTGTAAAGAATCTGTCATAAAATCAGAATTTCTTAGTGCATAAACAATTCCTTTGTTTATAGTTCTGTAGACAATAACATTAGTCTCATCTATAATTAGTAAGGTTCACTGATGTTTGGGCAAGTCGGATAATTGGGACTCCAGCAAATTGGAATCCCGAGCCTCCATTATATACTTATTCAGGTATATAAGTCAAACCCAATTTGGATAGTTGTCGTCAGCCTAAGACAGTGGCCAAATGTAAAATGGAGCATGTCTTGCAAATAATTAAACAGGGTATTGCATTTTGCATTAATATAATTTTCTCTGATATTTACTAAAAAATTTTAACTTTCCATGCAAAGAACAGCATAGTTATTATCCCTGTTCCTGGAAGATGCACAATCCAATGCTGGACACACAAGCTACAGTCATTAAAATACAAAAACCAGAAGAAGAAATCAAAACTATAAAATATGGCCAAGACAACATTTAAAACAGACAGCAACAAAGAGAATAATTTCCTTGGATCTGTGTGGCTGTCAAAACATGCTCCACAAGCTATGTATTGTGTATCTGGTAGTTATGTTTGTCTGTTTTACATTCTGGATTTTTAGAACACAATATAAGCTAGTAACAAAGAAATAGGAATACAAGAAATAAGTTATCTACAACAGAGTCTAGTCAGTTACAGATCATGTAAGTTCTTTAATTAAATTTGGTACTTTCCTGCATTCAAACTTCCATATAGTATACACACACTTTTACTAACCAGCTACAAACCCTACCTCTGCATAGTGTTCTTCATTTTGCTGCAAAAGATCAACACACAGTTCTGCTAGATGGATGAGGTCTTCTAGTTTCTTACTGGGGGCCACCATTGTTTCGCCGCTCAGGTCATCTGCCAAACATTTACATAATGAATATATAGGAGAGCTGCTAAATAAGTTATGCTACATTTTTCCAGTTCATGTTCATAATATTTTAATTTCAGCCCTAAAATTGTGTTCAATTTGGAATTGAAACTAAAACTGCTATTCTGGTCTAATGAACTTCCATTAGCAAAGTTATTCTGAGATACAGACAAGTTCACTGTACTGTATTATACTGAAATGATAACAATGATGTGGTGGTGGTAAACATTTTGAATCTACTGATATAATGAGAAGTTGTCAGAAAGAACATTCTAACTTCTACCTACAGGCTTCAGAAAGACATTTCATCAAACCATAAATATGTCTACAATGACTGCTTTGTACCAGGTAATTATTTAATTCTGCAAAAAACACAACTAATTAGATACTCAATTTAAACCCTAGGCCCATAAAATTAAATCCTTTTTTTAATCTACACTTTCTCAGCTAAATCTAAATGTTACAAATAATCACAACTATTATTTCTGACACACCCATCATGTTTCAGAAATGTATTTGGGGACTTAGCCATTTGCCAGTTCTCATTTCACTCTAGGCAACTGGCATCTTTCTTGTTTTTGGTTTCTGAGAGTATGTTTCTTTCTAGCGATTGATACCTACAGGGGACTTCAGTTCATTTTACTGTAATTCTTCCAAAATTTTTGCTGTAACTTCTTGTTATCTTATCTCCACTGATGTTAGATATTCAATGTTAAAATATATAGTCTGTTTAGGACTTCTTTGGGATCCAGTGCTTAAGGATGGCTCTCCCTAATGGACCCAACACCTAAGGACAGAATACAGTTTCCAAAACGTCTTTGCGAAAATACACAAGGCAATTGAAAATGTTCATTACATTAGTATCTATTGTTATACATTTTACTTAAAGCTTTCCTGTCATATGTCGATATGTAATCGACATGGTGACAGTGCTTCCATGGACGAATGTCGATATATGATCGCTAATTTTTTTTCATGTTTCTCCGGTCATATTTCGATTATACATCGTTGGTTGGCACTGTATAATATACCAAAGTATCCATAAATATTTTGCCTGCCTCCTTCTGCCATGTGGAAGTCATAATTTGAACTTCTTGAGAAACAAATGTCATTTATATATCACCGTTATCAACATGGCTTTGTGTTCAGGTACACGCGTGGCTTCTGGCACCAAAAAACCGAAATAAAATGCAGTGTGTGTTTAAAATGAAGAATCAATTATTGCTTTCTTAAATGAAGAACTCAATATAGACTGTTAATGATCAGATGGATTTGGAAAAATATTACAAGAAACTGCGAGTGAAGAATCATGGGATGAAATGTCAGAAAGTGAGAACGACCGTGACACAAGAGTTCTGCGTGTTGATGAGTGGGACAAGAAATCCAAGGCATATACAGGGCCACGATTTAACCTTCTAACAGATGCAGAGCTCATGGATTATTTTAGTTTATTTTTCAATGATGAGCTTTTGAATAACATTGTTATAGAGACAAACAGCTATGCGAGACACAAAATTTTGGGACTTCATTTTAGCCCAAGGTCCATTTGGAGCAGCTGGTCTGATGTGTCAGTTCCTGAAATGAAGGCGATTTTTTAGGTCTAATTATAAATATGGGCCTAATGCCATCACCTGACATAAAAACTATAGGTCTAGTGAGTGGACAGCACAGATACAATTTTTTGGTAATGTAATGTCATGAGTTTGCTTTTTGCAGATATTTTGAATGATGGGTGTGGGAAATGATACCACTGAAGAAAGCACTTGGGGCATCAAAGAACAAAGAAAGTACATGGGGGTGAAAGAACATATAGAGGAACAGTTTCAGAAATATTGTTACGATGTAAAGTGTTACAATTATTTGTAGTTACAAGAGTGAATATCCAACAGACCAATTCAAAAATCCAAACCCACGTCTTAGTCATTAAAACTTGTGACATTATTTTTCTTTTTGTAATTTCCATCAACCTGCTTCTTTGTATCATGCTGGCTGCAGCTGAATTGTACTCAGTTATGAACATAATTGCTTCTTTTGTACAAACTTAAACATAATCCCCCTTTCTGTATTTTCTATATGCATGCAGCAAACAATTATCCACTCTGTTATGCAGGAAACAGTAAAGGATGACAATGTAGATTGTTAATTAAGACACATTCATCTAAGCAGCGATTTGGTTACATTTTTCATAAATCTGCACCCAAGACAATTAATTTTTTCCACATTACATGTTTATTGAACGGAATTTTGTAGTAAACATATGAATTACAATATATATGTATACAGGAAAGGTTGTGAATAAAATGCTATGTAGACATTAACTTTTCTCTGATTCACAATTTCACTACAAGTATTTGCACTGGACACAATGATCCACTGTTATGATATATATTGTCGATTTCCCTGTTTGTTATAGTAAATAAGGAATTATTCACATTCAACTCACAAATGCATAATTGGAGTACCAGATCTATCTGTGATCTGCATTATCCGCAAACTAGTCTAACACAATTCCAAAAAGGAATATGTTACATGGGGCTAAAGATCTTTAATCATTTGCCACCAAAAATCAAATCTATGTCTAATGACTTGAAAAATTTTAAAATTCAGTTGACAACATTTTTATTGCAAAACTCTTTTTATACATGTGATGAATTCTTTAGTAAAAAATTTGCCTAAAAATAAGGATAATAACATAAACAATTTTAATATTGCATAATTTTATGTATAATGATGTAAGACTGTAAATTTAACACATGTTTTTTTATCTATTATAATGATTATAAGCTGTACATATATATTTATAATTGTATCGTACTATATTAACTATGTGTCTGGTTCTATATCTATGTATATGGATTTATGGAATATAACAATAAATGAATGAATGAATGAATGATTTTAACCCCACATATCAATGGTGGCATTTAGCTCAGTGCTAAAATTTTCTAACAAATTGCTGAAGGGCAATTGAGAACAAATATTCACCATATAAAATACATAAACTACAAAATTTAATCAGGACATGCACACACATAGCTACTTGAATCAGGGAAATGCACTTACAAATACAACTTTAAAACTAGTTTCAAATGAAATAATAAAACGAACCGAATTTTTAGAAATGACTTTCCTTGAACACCATATGCCATATACTATGAAATGTGAATTAAAATTAAATTAGTAAAACCAGTTTCCCATTATATGTGATACGATTCATGCCTCATACAAATCAACTCTATGCAAGAAAATTCAAACTGTTGACCTTACGATGCTAAAGGTGATATGTTTCTCTGAAGTTTGAACTACTAACTACTTGTGCACATGTGCATGCATGCAAACTATCAAGACATTCAGCATTTAAGGGATGTATCGTACCTTGAAGAGTTCCTTCACCACTTTCGCTCGGACCAGTGGAAAGAAGAAATAACTTTGATACTGCACCATTAATATCACACTATGAACTGACTGATTAATTTGTTGCTGCCAGAAATACACTGATCAATGAAATCTATATTGACAAAGGTGGTCTCACAAACAACTTAAAGACAGCGAAATGGAATGTTAGTATTTTTCTCCAGCTTAGAAACATAACTCTGACATATATAAGTCATGAATTTTCTGCTTTTCCTATAAAACATTCAGTCAGCTCAGTTCAAAAATATGGTTTAAAACTCTTTCCCTATTTAAATAAAAATTTGTTAATATTTACAGGACTGAAACTAACCCAGATACACTTTGTGTACATGGTTATGGTAGTATAATGCTAGCACACATATTCACGGAGATATAATTTTGATTTTAAATTTCACTACTATGTAATTTGATGAGGAAAGATCTACAGAAATATAACTCCAATAGCATTCAGTACTCTACTTCATAGTCCTATCTGTGTTCAACTTCATCTCCCTAAAATCCGACTTATCAGAACTTAAAACTTAGAACTTTACTTGTGAGGCTGTTTAGACAAAGTGTCACTTGTCAGTACCTGCTAATGTTTGGTAACTCCATAAATTCTGTTTACATTTTGTTGAACTTCCTTTTATTAAAATGCTACTAATTAGAACTGAGAAGATTCAGCTGCTCCCATATATAAATGTTTTCATGCAGTATCCCTTATCAATATTCCATAAACACATGATCAATGGCAAGTAACATAAATGGATTCTATTAACTTTTACTATTACTGCATGATGTAATTGTTTTGAGAGGAAACTGCAGATGTTTCAAACACAAGATTGAAGTAAATTACCTTCAATTTTAGCTTCAGCAGACAGGCGAGTGTAATTCACAAGAGCCGCTGTCTCAAGGCACTTCTTGATCATGCCTCTCACTTCCTCTGGAGGAACTGGGGTTACTATATCTTTCATGAGTACCTGTCAATATTATATTTAAGGTTACAAGAACAGTATTTATTTCTAAATCTTTTCTCCATTACTTAAGGACATCCCAAGACACAATTGCTCTATAAAATGTGAATACATAGGTAAGTCAATAAGTTAGATCTCAATATTTTGGTAAGAGAATCTTGACTGAAGTACGAAATAAAGAAATCAGTAATCATATTTAAAGCTTTCTGATGAATTTGGAAGACAAAAACTCAAATATAATGAGTCATAGTTGGAGGGAATGTTAAAAAGATAGAATTAGTTTACATTTACAGTTCACTAATGATAATATTTTAAATGGATCTTAAAGAAACAAGATGTTGAGGATGTGGACTAGATTCATCTGGATCAGAAGAGGATCTCATGACTGTGGAATTCAAATGCACATGCCCACTTCCAGTTTCTTTAAGATTAAACTTCCAACCAAGTTACCTGGCATTAATTTACTGCATTTCACTGCCTAATTTCAAACAAGTTTTTAGAAAACATTCCACAATGACTTCATATACTGTCACTGTTGCTTAACTCGTATGAAGATCTGAAATATCTATTACAATTTCAATTCAAATTACTGTAAACATGTCATATCTTACCCTCTCCAATAGGGATAATGTTGCTTTCAAAGAGCCTTCGGGTCTCCCAAATGGAAAGCAGTACCTAGGAAAATCAACACATTATTCATATAATCAGAAGCTGCAGTTTTACAATTACTACTCCATAAACATTACACTCATCCTAACACCAAAACTGACTGTTGTGTGTTTTTATGGTAATTGGTATCAAAATGAAAGGGTTATCATGGGAGATTAGCAGTGAATTCCAAATGGACCAGACAATCAGACAGCCCATAAAATCACAAAATGCACACAGCTGGTCATAAGGCATGAATTACAGAATAAATAAAGTGTTTTCTCAGTGTCAGTCACTCTGAAATTCATGTTATGAACTGTGAAGTCTCAAATTTCTGCATGGAGCTCCTGCAGTAAAACAAAACATGAAATTTTATTTTATGGTAGATTTAACATTCTCAGAATTGTGACTATGAAGAGTACCAACTTCTGACAAGTAATGCTGTGTAGTCCAGTAGTTCACCAGTGATTTGTTGGTACATTTGTGAACTTTTACCAGACTATATGTGTTACAACACAGACCACAGTGCCCTATATCTGGCTTGAGTGTTTTGCAACTATGACAGATGTTACAATATTATTTTGTTTCCCCATTTTCTAATGGTCATATAGATATCACTTCAAGCCATTTTCACAAATATACATATGCTTCATAATGATCAATAATTCACCCAAAAATAATGTTTCATGGCAAAAACAACATATCCCATGACTTTCATAGTATGCATCCTGTTGTGTATCATTCAAGAAAAATATAAAGGACAGTCAACACAACAAATTATTGAAACTGAAATGAACTAAATAATTCAGTCTCCACATTCATTTATTGGCCCAGATGTTAATGTTACATGTTTTTTAATATTTTAGGGCATTAATATGGATCCATATTTTACATTAATAGCTTTTCTAAATATCCCCCTTCCCACTACACCTCTGATGTTCACTCTCTGGATGAGCCTGGTGTGCATAGCTTTTCCATCTTGTGACATCAACACAGAAACCACTAATCTGTTTGCTCTGACTTAATAAATTGAAACTAACTGCTGTATTTTGTGATGCTGATGAGTCCACACTGTCTCTATCAGAGTACTGATTTTCACTAATGTCCAGAGCAAACAACATTTCATGAACCTGAAAATTTAAACATGGTAGATACATAAATTAAATTTCTCATTGTAAGAGAAAAAGTACATCTGTATAATTCAGAGACTTTTGTTTCAGATGCTTTACAGGAATATAAATCTTAAGTTTGTGTTCATGTGTGTGTAATTTTGTAGATTCAAACATAAATAATCATGTTTCTTTGAAGATCTGAAATCCTTGTTTATATTTAACATAATAATAATAATAATAATAATAATAATAATAATTCAATTCAATTCAATTCTTTATTATTAAT